GGAAGGAAGGTTGGGCAATCTACCTCCGTAAGGATACTGCCTCGGAAACCCAAGGAGGGGTCGCCTAGCAGGGTGGATGAAGCTGAGACAGGAAGGGCATCAGTGAGAAGCTCAGGGCCAGGTACCCAGGGAGGCTAGTAACACCCTGAGGAAAGAGCTTTCCACAGAGCTTTTAGGAGCCTGTGAACACTTCACATGAGGCATCTAACACAGAGTTATAAAAATCAGGTGAGTAGGGAACCAGCAGGATTTCAGAAATGTTTTATTAAATGCCTTAAACTTTTTAAAAAGACCTTTGTGATTTGCATGACCTCCTGGTGCCTCCCTGTATGCAGAATGGAGACAGGGATATTAAAAAGCATGTCCCTCAGAACTGCTGTATGATTAAATGAGAAAAAACAAAATACTGTGCTTAGAATAGTGCCTGGCCCATGGTGGGTGTCCAGTAAATGTTGACCCCCACCCTCCTCTTCCTCTAAATGACCCAGAAAGCCACATGTTTAAGAAAGAGAAAAGAGAGCTTCTGTGTTAAAAGAGGAAATGTTCTTTCATGACGGTCACTGGTCTTTAGCAATGACTTTCACTGCCAGAAGAACTTGAATGAGCTAAGTTCTCCACAGAGTGGGGAGGGAGAGAAGAGGAGCAAGGTAGAGAAAGAGACAGAACTGTCTCTGCCTTTGTTATATAATGCTTTCAGCCATAAGATACGATAAAAATAGTGGCACTATTAGAATATCTGACACTGCAGAATGACATTAGGGTTTCTCCTGAAGGAAGAGGCATGCTGGCGCCTCACGGGGCTGCTCGGCGCGTCCCGTCCCTGCCCTGCTGCCTTTGCCTGCAGGCCTGGTCGGCAGCCCCGTCGGAACTGTCTCAGCTCAGATACTGTGAACTCTCATTCACCCAGTTCTGTTCCAGAGCTACTTCAGCATCACAGGGGAGACGCTCCTCCTTGCCTTTCACCCTGATTTCAAAAATCAGCGGGACAGTGAGAAACGAAATCACTTCCTAATGAGCCTTTTCCTCTGTAGGAGAAACACCTGGCCACCTGCTCTGCAAAGGTTACAGCCCAGGTGCCAGTCTGCCACACGGGTCACTGTGAGTCGAAAACAGCTCCACTGCACACAAGAAGTCCTCAAAGAAAACATTAAGCCCCTGGTCGGTCAGGGCTAATTTTCAGAAACTTGATAATCTGGTAAATTAATAAATGATTGCTCCAGGGCATGAAATAAGAACCTGGAGGCCCCTTCTAGAAATGTTTCCTGTTCTGATAAGAAGGATCAGGGTTACGAATTATAAAACAGGGTGTGTACAAGGAACAGAGTTAGCGTCTACTTGTACCGTTCATCCATCCCTGTCTGGATATGTCACAAGCTGACTAGTGGCATCTTCCTGGAAAAAGGAATAATCACCCTGACCAAACTGCATCCAGGTACTCACTCACAAGTGCCTGGGATGGATTTCTCCCTGGCCCCGCTTCTGCATCTGACCACATGAGCTGATCACAAGTCGCTGGCAGTCATCCCTACACGCTCCTTCCATGCCCGCCTCTCCCTGACGGCTGCAGGAGGTGGGAGACGAAATGACACTTCTCCTCCCCTTCCACCTGCCCACTGAAGAAGTGCTTCCCCAGAGTCTTTCTAAAGCGGACATGTACCAAGGTTAAGGAGAAGAGATCTGGATTCACATCCTGGCTCTGGGGCACACTAACTCTGCAGCGTGGCCAGTTGTTTAACTGCAAGTTTATCTCTAGAATGAGATCATGATACTATTTACCTTGCAGAGTTGTTACAAAAATTAAATGAGATTAATACAAAGAGGCCAAAGGGCAGAGTACAGAGTCTGGCGCACGGCAAACACTTTCATCTACTGATAAAGAAGCACCGTGAAAAGCTTCAATTCTTGAAGGTACATCACTGCTCACGGGGTCTCAAGCCAGAAGCGATCTGATCTGCCCAGAGGAACCACGCCTGCTGGGTGGAGCGTGACAGATAGAGGTGGAAGAGCTCACCGTCCCAGACCACTTCCCTTTAAACGACCTGCCCCGGCTCTCTGTTCTTTAACAACTGGAACGCAGGCTGAGTGTTCTTTAACAAGGATAATTTCTTGTGTCTATGAAAATGTGAAGCAGGTCCATTCATTCTGAAAAGAAGAGAACTGACAGAAGGGGAGAAGCACCTTCTCAAGTGAATGGTGTTCAATAAAACCTTTCATGAGAAATAGTAGGTAAGAATCAAGTATCGTGAAATACAGAAAAGATTTAGACCTTTGTGTACATGTGCTTTTGGTATGGCCCAGTGTTTCTGGAACAACCCGACGTTCCCTTGTTCTCACTTTGTGTCTTACAGGGAAGTGAGGCGCTCTCTCAAGTGTTCTTGGTTTGTAGGAGCAGAAAGAACATTTTAAATACTTACTGTTAGGAAAGCTTTAGAGATAAAAGCCCTTCTAATTACCTCCTACTACCCGTAGTTTTATGGATTTCATGAGCTCTTAAGGAGCTGCTCAGACCGAACTTTAGTGGAAACTGAAACACGTAGAAACAGCAAGGAGATGCCACTGTGGGAAACTGTCTACAGTCTAGGCTGGAGTGCAAAGGGGGGAACTGACAGGGAAGGAGGTATGGCTTAAGCCACTGGGTGAGAACTGATGTCATGTGCTAGCTAAGAGACACTGAGGGCAGAACTGGGGGGAGAGAGCAGCACTATATGGAGTCTGTGGAACTAGAAGGAGCACTGAAC